TTGGGTTAATTCCTGAGTGCCCGTGGTCACGGGCAGGCCCTGAACCCAGGAACGCCCAAAGGGGACACTTAGATGTGATCAAGTCACCACCGTCTCCCGGGCCTACATCCCTGCGTGTCCTCTTTCCTTATCTGCCTGGAGGGTCAGGGGTTGGGTGGATGCCAGCTCCAGTGGCCTGGATGACGTATTTCCTCCTCAGAATTAGAAGTGTGTGTTGATGTGAGGCCCACGGGGTTGGAGGGGTGCGGGGGCGCCGGATGCTTCTGGAAGCAAAACAGCAAGTGAGGCTGCCCTCAGCGGTAAAATGAAATGAAATCCAACCAACATTTATTGAGCACCTGGTATATAAGCTCCTGGGGAAAGAAAAGAGCAAGCGTGAGGGAAAGAGCCATTTTATCCATTTATTATATACAATAGTAAGGCACAAGTTTAAGCAGCAAAGAATTAGGAAAATCTTTGGCTGACCGACAGGATCAATATTTGCTGGGGGCGACATGCTGTGTTCTTGGACTGCCCCGCTCTGTACACAGACCCATCCAGCTGTGCAGCTCTGACCCCCGACTGCAATACAGACCAGCACGTGAAGATGCCAAAACGTTACACCAGAGGCCGCTGGCGGGAACACAGCGCACGGCCACCAAGCACAGGCAGGCGGCAAGTGCAGTGACGCTCGGGCCATCAGAGTCTGTGGCCGAGGTGGGCACACAGTCTTGCCTGCTCACAGAATTTCACAAGTTCTGTACACGCCGCACTGAGAAGGAGGCTCCCCTCTCCCTCCACAAAAGGGGAAAACATCTTAATTCAAAGAAAAATCACACTGGATCAATTTGCTTCCCTTCTGTTTTGTAATAAATACTTACAGGTGTCTATGTGAACAGCATCCTAGGAAAACCACATGGAGACACAGCACTGGGCACCAGAACTTCAGCAGCTGATAACAAGAAAATGCTGTCTAGGTACTTGAGTAAATTGAAAACAAGATTTTAATTCGGTGAAGAAGCAAAGTTTCATGACAAAGAAACACCTCAATCTTAGCATAACATGACAATAACATGCACTTAAGTATAACACGGTTTTACAGGATACCTACTGGGGTTTATACATCTGTGCGTGTGTGGAGATGTGAACACATACAAGGCATGGCGAGAGGACGGATCTTTAGAAACGAATCCACCAGAAGTTACATGTACTGATGATGACTGTCCTCCTTTGAAGCGGTCGCTAGGAGTCCAAACACTGATTTCCAGGAATATCTTAAGGATTTTTTTTTTCAAAAAAAAAAAAAAGCTAAAAGATCGTGATTTACCTTAATCGCCCATCTTTATTTATCCAACTGAGTGAATGACTGGGGATTATTTCCAAACTTATATCCATCCTCAAAGGATGATGGTTTCTCATCTCAAAGGATAACCAAAGGAACGTGCCAGGGCCCAAATCCACTCTAATAGAGGCGTTTGCAAAATGTTTCTATGCGGGCAGCACTGTAGTAATAATCAGCAGAGTCTCCCAAAGGGCCACCTTTTAAGGAAGGTGGGGCGAGATGAAACCGCTGGCTCTTCTGGGTATTAAGAGAAGGAACGACACACAACCTTTCAGCCACACCTCGTATGTATGCACGGACGTATACACATGTCTTTATATACCGTTAAATCACCAAACGAGAAAAGGGGGTACTACTCAGAAGGAAGAGGGGAACAATTGCTTATTAGTTCCAGAAGAAATCCATTTACTGCAACGCTGACCTCTCCATGCTCCCAGACGATCAGCTCCTGGTAACTTCTTAATTACTCTGCCCATCTCTCCCAGAGCCACACATCAGATTGTTGAACCCATTAAACAATCCTCACGTTGAGGAAGACATTTTAAACACACTGATTAATGAGTAAGAAAAAAGAAAAGAAAACCAACGTTTATAACGCATACACCATGGCTGCCTCAGGCTTGGGGTTGAGAAGAAGCCAACTGTGCGCTGGACAATCTGTTGTAAGAACACTCTCCGGCTCCTGTGTACCACGGCTAGACTGTAGTAGACTCCCCGGCTTAGGAGGAGTGAGGTCATCGGGGGCACCCCAAAGCCCACCTTCACCCCAGCACCAGTGCAAGACATGCAGTGGGACTCTGTTCTAGAAAACACACCTCTTCACTCAGCTCTGGGAAGCCTAAGTGTGAGCTCCCTGCCTGGAACATGTTCAAATCACCATTTATTCTCCACCGCCTCCCGGATCCAGCCGCACCTGACATCCATGTTCGCATCAGTTTCTGGGACTCAGAAGGTTGCCATAGGGGGAATTTCTCATACCATCAGCTCTCAGAATCCCAAGGACACAGGTGGCTGAGGGCAAACCCAGGAGAGAACAAACAGGGGTGACTGCCTGCTTCTCTGCAGGGGGCATTGTGATGGCCTCCTCCCTGGGCAACAGAACCTCTGAATTCTCTGTTCCGAGTTCACCACTCATTTGGAGCAACTGCCTCAATTTACAGTCCAAACCCTGTGGAGTCAGATTCACACGGGTTCCAAAGAGCAAGCACTGCAGGACTGCAGAGAGAGAGGAGGGCCCCCTTCTCTGCCCTCCCGCGGAAGCCTGAGAGGGAGGTGGCAGCCCCGTCCTGCATGCCTGCTAGGAGCAGGCTGAGTGTGACCCTGGGTGGCTTCCCACCTCTGGGAAGCATAAGAAAAGCTGAAAAAAAAGTGCTAAGAAAAGACTCTGCACACACTCTGAAATTAGTGCCACAATCCAGCAATATCTACTCCGTATGGTCCCCCAGGGAGCAGGCAGAAACTACCAGACGACACATTCAAGGACACAGAGTTACTCTGGAACGTTGTCACCCAAGGCCAAGGCTTTTACCCTCACCCTGAGGCCGGGCCCCCAAATTCACAGACAGTACTGGGAAGTTCTGAAGAAGGCCAGGTCTCTGGGCCACGTGCAAGTGCTTTTAAAAGATTTTGTGGCCCTGCTTCTAACCAAACACAAAGACCTCCATCTACACCTGTGTTCAAGGGGACTTCTAGCAGTTCTGGGCTTTAGTCATTTCTTAGCTCCTGAGAGGGGGTGCAGCTGTGCGTGTGTGTGCATGCGCGTGTGCACACCAAATACAGGGGGCAGAGTGGGCCAAGATGTGGCACCCAAACATGTTAGCATCCTCAAGTCAGAGGCACAGCTCCTCTCCCAGACTCTCAGTTCGGACCCCTGGGGAAGGAACTTGACCTCCCCTGAGACCCATTTTCCTCCTCTGGGAAATAAAGCTGATCAAGTCACCACCCCCCGACCATGTTTGGATGACTCACTGAAACGTACTTACCCCAGTCCTTGCATACAGTTGGCACTAAAAAACAGAGCTGGTATCATTTTCTGAAAACCCAATGAGATAATATATCGTACACCATCCAGAACGCACCATGGGAGCTCCGCATCTGCATGTCTCCTAAATGCAAGCAAGACTTCAGGAAAGCGATGAAGGTGAAGCATGTCGGGGCCCTGGTGGGGCAATCTGCCACCAGAGAAGACATTTCAAAGCTATAGGTCCCTTTCTCGGAGGACCAAGGAGAGCGAGCGAGCCTTGTGCCTGAGCCGCCGACGAGGTGCGTGGGAACCTGGGCTGGGGCTCTGGCTCTCACCCACTTCTAGGGGACAAGGTCCACGTGTGGGGTGGCCAAACCTAAAATGAGCTCCCCAAGCAAAATGTCCTAAGTGATGTCTCCAGGACTTCATTTAGGTGGGACTTGAAAAAGCCTCAGACCCCAGTCTTTTTTTCTTCCCTTAAGTAAGCATGAGAGAAGGGACCTGGAAAAACACAGATCCAGCTGCCCTGAGGGGAGAAAACTATGAGGACCCCGCAGGAGCATCTGACGGCCTGACTAGCTTCTCCTCTCTCCTGGCCCAGCACCTTCTAGATTTGTAAAGAAAGCCAACATCTGAGGCGTCAGAGGGGAACCCTCACAGCACATGGATGAGGCCCATGACCTCACTCCCTCCTGGCTCTTTGACCTAGTGTTTCCATCTTACTTTGGACAAGTTGTCCCAAACCAAACCTTGGAAAACCCGATCACACTGTGTAGACCCAAAGCGAGTTCCCGGCGGGGCAGAGCTGATGACTGATGTGCTGACACAACACAATGAGTCTCAGGGTCTGCGTGCTCACCGACTGCGCCCGGAGGCGTGCGAACGGCCGGCGGAGGCGTGGACACGCCCGAGAACCACAAACAGCAGAAAGGGGGACAAGGCGCCAGGGAAGATCCTGGATGCCACCAATCAAGTGTTACTCCTTCCTGGAGGGCAATCCTAAATGTCCTACCTCCACAGAGCAATGAGGTGGAGATCCCAAACTCCACCCAAGAGCAGATGGGAGAGAAAAGTCAGCGCCATGAGCTGAAAGCATGATGCCACGGCGGTCACGGGTCTTCCGCCTCATCAGAACTGACCTAGTTCAGAGTCAGAACAAGGTGACCGGGGCAGCCCAGCTCCTCAAAGCGGGCGGAAACAGCCAGGAAGCCAGCACACGGCTTTGTCCCACAGGTCGCTAGGAAACACAGCAGGAATGACGGCTGTTCAGATGACTGCGCTAACCCCAGAGCTAAAGAATTCTGCCATGGCTTATTCCAAAAAAAAAAAAAAAAAAAAAAACCCAAACAAATAAAAAGGGTAAAAGTAAAGAAAATGAAGCAGAGACCGTGATGAACTCAGAGGAGGGAGGGAGGAGGAGCACTAAGACCAGAAAGTTCCCATCCTGCTTAGGAAACACCGCTCAATCCAGAAAAGCTGAGAGGCCCTGTGGTCTCCTGAAAATTCGAAGCAGCAGGTAATGAGGTGAAGATGGGCTTTTAAACCCCCCGTCACCTCGGACATCCCTCCGCACGGACATGTCCACACGCATTCACAGGACACCCCGCGGAAGACACTGACGATATACATTATGTCAAGACGGATGCTCCGAGATTTCTAGGGGGTTCTTCTTAAGCAAAACAATCTATGAGGCAAGGAGAATGGGCGTATTCCAAGGCAGATCCATGCTCAGGTTTATCTGTTTATAACCAGAGACTGGGTGTACACAGACCCTCCCCAAGAGATACATTTTCTGTACAATGAAAAATTCCATTCCTTATTTCTTCTGTTTCCAAACCTACATGCATCTTCTTTCTTTCACCATATGTAGTAAAAATCCATGGCCCTCTCTTCCTCTTCAGTCATGCAGGTCTCCTTGTTTTTGTTTTTTTGTTGGTTTTTTTTTTAACATTTATAAAAAGGGTTCTTACTAATCTGAAATCCTCAGTTCAAATCATTCGTGATTACCCATTCACAACCTTCTTGGTCTTTCTTTCTTTCTCTTTGCCACGTTCCTCGCTTGTCAGTGTTCTGTTGGGAAATTCAACAGGGACGCCGGTGTTAGATGAGAACTTCCATCATCTCTCCATCAGGGAACTCGGGCTTGTGGAGCAGGCTGCTGACGCGGCCTTTGTGGTCGGGTGACTTCCCGTGGCTGGGAGAATTCTCTGCCAAACAGAAGGGACACATGAGCAGCCCGTTCCCCAGGAGGAACACAGGTCTCCCCAGCTCTCTCTAGAATGGAATCATTTCCCATACCACCCCTCACCCCCAGGGCACGCGGGTAAGGCCCCAGAGCCCAGCCCACGGCGGACAAAAGCAAAAAGACTGCACTGGCCCTGGGATTCAGAAACCAGAATCCCAGGGCTGTGCTGGGAGAGGTCTGAGTGGGTGAACTCGTCGAGACTTTGTGCGGAGTCCTCACACCCGCTCCCTCTCCCTCTCCTCTAAACCCTCAAGTTCACGCCACAACCCTGCCTTCCTGGGAAAACGACGTTCAAAGAATTAAATCTCCCAAAACTGACAACACTGTTTACTTGTCGATTTTGGAGAATGAAAATAAAGAACTCCCTTGGAGAAAATAATTTATGCCCCCAACAGCCCCCACCTCCTCCAAACAATTCCTGAAGAGGGCCACCCTCAGCCCATGACTATGACTAGTCCAAAGCCAAGTCTGTTCTCCCCACAGACACTCCTGGAATCATCCCCAAATTCCGTCTGAGCTGTCTTCTTGTACATATTTGAAAGCAACTTCTCAGTACTGCCCTGAGTGTTGGGACAGTTCACCTGCTTTCCAGTTCAATCTTCTCGCTCAATCAGGAGATGCTCCCGACCCCGAATCCTCGACAATGAACACCTTGAAGGCAACATCTTTACGCCTGATGCTCCTGATGGACCTGGTGCCTGGTACCAGCTCCCAAACCGCTGGGGGGAGCTGATTCCCTGACATCCGCCTGCAGGTCGGTTTTCATCCCTCCTGGGGAAGGGCTAGTTGCAGAGCATACACTACAAGGGCAGGTGAAGGTCGTGTACTGCCTTCAATGGTAATAAGCTGAGAGGCTCTACACACATTTTATTCCCAGAATAATAAAGAGCATGCGCAGCCTAAGTGGGTGGGGTAACATAACCATGAGAAAACCCATAAAGTAAGAGTCGATTGGTGCTCTCTCTCCCTTCCCAGCTCAACAATAGGCGCCCCATCTCAGGCCAGTGAGCTGGGGACCCCAGGCGTGGGAGAGGACGCAGGAACCTCGTACCCAGTTTCTCCGCCGCCCCTTTGGCCGCGGGGTGTTTCAGGACCGGGCTGTTGGAAGGGGTCCCGCTCAGCCGGCCGCGGGTGGGCAGGGAGGCCACGCTGGGCCAGAAGAGCTCGGCGCCCTTGTCCGTCTGCGTGCTGCTGTCCTTGCTGCCCGTCTTGGCGTGCGCGCTGCCGGCCGGCGTGGCGGGGGCCGCGGGCGTGGGCAGCACCGGGGCAGACGCGTGCTCGTGGTGCTCCTTCCCCAGCAGCAGCCCTGAGGGCGAAGAACAGCTTCTTAAATGCCATTGTTTTTTAAACTTTATTATTGTATTATTGATTTTATTTTGGCGGGGGTGGGGAGGTAATTATTTATTTTTAGAGGAAGTACTGGGGATTGAACACAGGACCTCATGCATGGTAAGCACACGCTTTACCACTTGAGTTATACCCTCCCCTCTTCAATGCCATTCTTAAAAAAAAAAAATTCAACACCTAATCTGGGGCAGGGGAGGAGCTGTCAAGTTAACTTGTTATAGTAATGTCACCTGACAAATGATAGGTACAGTTATTCTCAGGGTGCTATGGAAGAACAGAGAAAAGGTACGTCAGAGGCAGAGTGTCCGGGGTGGGGGCATTCCTGCCAGGCCTTCTAGAGATGATGCTTGTTTAACCCAATATGGCTCAGGAAGGCTAGTCTTTTTTATTTAATTTTATTTATTTATTTAAAAATTTTTTGTATTGAAGTATAGTTGATTCCCAATGTTTAAGGTGTACAGTAAAGTGATTCAGTCATATATATATGTGTGTGTATATATATATTATATATATATATTCATTTTCAGATTTTTTATAGGTTATTATAAGATATTGAGTATAGTTCCCTGTGCTGTACAGTAGGGCCTTGTTGTTTATTTTATATATAGTAGTGTGTATCTGTTTATCCCAAATTCCCAATTTATCCCACCTTCCTCTTTCTCTTTTTGGTAACCTGAAGCTTGATTTCTGTATCTGTGAGTCTATTTCTGTTTTGTAAATAAGTTCATTTGTATCTTTTTTTTTTCACATTCCACATATAAGTGATATCCTATGATATCTGTCTTTCTCCGACTTAACTTCACTTTGTATGATAATCTCTAGGTCCATCCAGGTTGCTGCCAATGGCATTATTGCATTCTCAAAGGGCTAGCCTTGAGCGTGGTCGTGTGCTTAAGAAAACCTGGAGGCTTCCCTGGTCCTGGACACAACAGGTCCCACTGGCCTGCTGCTCTGCTGAATAGCACCAAACTCCACCCCACTCTTGGTAACAAATGGTCTCCTGGGGGCCCCGGGTCAAAACAAACAGGCTTCCCGGTCCGGGCAACATAGAGATGTGTACACTGTTCCCCCAGAGAGATCCCTGCAGCGCAGAGCCACGTCCTCCAAGAAGCAGGAAGCCGCTGGGCTCCAGGGAAGGGCCACTCAGCCCTCTTTTTCCTCTCCCCCTCCCAACAGAGGCTGGGGTGAGAAGAGGAGAGCTGGCTGGGTAAAAGGGAAGCATGAGGTGCAGGGGTGTCCCCTTTCCTCAATGTCTTCCTGCAAAGCTGGGCAGGAGAGTGACTGTTCCAATTGTACAATACAGCCCCCACTCAGAAAAGTGCCAGCACTCCAGAACACTAGCCTGCAGAAAATGCGGTAAGCACAATCAAGTGTCTGTTCGCTTATCTTAACGAGCTGGCAGTTCATAAGGTCTCTTTGCCAGGGTTAGTTCCAGGTGCCCATTCATAATGCAATGCAACTCCATTCAGTTTGTCTACAGCAGTGCTTCTCAGAATGTAATATGCAGATTGCTTAGATACATTGTTAAAATCAAGATTCAGTGAGTGGGTGGGGCCTGAGATTCTGCTTCTCCAACCAGCTCCCAGGTGATGTGGGTGCTGCTGGTCCCTGGACCACACTTTGAGCAGCATGGGTCTTTGTCTAGGTGCTTTACACACGTCGTCCCATTTTATATGAGGTACATCCTGTTGTTATCCTCTGTCTAACGGAAAAGGAAATGGAAGCTCAGAGAAATTAGTATCTCACATCTAAGCAGCAGAAATGGGATTCAAACGAACCCAGCTGTGCCTGCCTTTAAGTCCACTCTGTGTTCCTTCTGCCTCATCACCCTGCCTGTCAAAATGCCACAGTCTGGCAAGGATGCTTTTGTGGAACTAAGTTGCCAGCCCGTCATCAGGCAGCCCCTGAGCCACCAGGAAGGTGTACACCACCACCTCTACCTCCTTCCAGAGCCCATCAGGCAAGAGACTGTGGCAACACTTTGGGGACTGCATGTGTGCCTCTGCCTGGGACCTCAGAGGGCCCGGTCTGTTTTTGTGACACGTGGACACCAGTTACAATAATGATGGGAACAGCAGTGCAGACAGCACAGCTACTCTCCTGCAGCCGGGTCCTCAGGCTCCCAGGCCTGGTTGAGACAAGCCAAATCCTAGGGGTACAGACCCCAGAGAAATGCCTGCCTGGCTGGATGTTCCAAATCGACGTCTGCCAGGGAGGTTTCCATCCGAGCTGAACATGGTCAGACTCCCCTGCCATGCCCGTCTGAGCACTGCCCCCTAGGCTTTCTAACTGGGGAGGGGAGCTAAGTGTCCTTGGGAGGGTCTTGGATGATCCCAGCTGCTGTCCACACACGTCCTCTTTGAAGTGCATTTCCTTGGAGGCCAGGGGCTGCAGAAGCAACCCATGGGGGGACTTCAAACAGGGACTCTGGCTGGGCGCCTTTGATCCCTCCCAACTCTGGGCTCATACTGGAAGCTCTTATCTTCTTTGGTGTGAAACAAGCAGGCTCCTCTGGGGTTCTGTGCTGAGGAAAACAGGCTCTTGGCTCCATAGATAAACAAAACACACTGACCCAGGGAAATGCATCAAAGAAGGGCCAGGCCCCTGGGGCTGCAAAGAGCCGGGACAAGAGCAGAGGACATGCGTCTGGTAGTGCTGCCTGCACGGTGGCCGGCTCTGCGCCTCCTCTCCAGACTCAGCAAGTCCGCCAACCAGCCCGCCCTCACCCCAGGAACCTGTTCATGGCTAAGACCACGTCTGCAGAACTCTCCTTGACATTCTGTCTGTGCAACAACAATCCAACAAAACCACCGCCACCTACCTCTCACGTTCGAGGGCACTGCTTCCAAAGTGCTTTCTCTCCATTATCTCATTTTGCCCTTGCCAAGACCCCATGGGGTACAGCAGGGCAGACACCTCCAGACACCACCCTGCTTTTCTAGACACAGAAGCAGAGATGGAAGAGTCCTACCACAGGTCTGGGGGATAGCCAAGTTCAGATGCCCAGGGTCTCGGGGATTTCCCCATTAGAATATTTTATATTGCAAGAGTCACCTCAACTTTCAACAGTAACGATAATAATTATGATGTGAATCAACCCACGGTTAACAGAGACTCTGGCGGGGTGGCCTTTGCTTCTGCCACCAAAGTATGTTTGATTATCCTTCCCCACTCCACAGGTGAGCCAGCCGAGATTTGGAGACAGTTAAGACACTTCCACATCCACAAGAGTGTCCAAACTCCTTTGGCCAAAGGAGGTGCCTCTCAATGTTTGTGAGGCTCCTGCTTTTCAGAGCCTGGCCTGGGGAGGGGTGGGGCTTGTCTGTTGAGGGTGAGGCTTTTCTGAGGGGCGGGGCCTGCCTGGGGGGTGGAGCTCACCCAGGGAGGGGCGGCGCTTCCCTAGGGAGGGGTGGGTCTCACCTGGGCATGGGCGGGGCTTGCCTGACTTAGGTAGGACTCACCTATGCTCCCCTTCCAGGTCTTCTCCTCCTTCCTCTCCTCCGCTAGCTGGCTGCTGGTGAGCGAGGTCTGGCGGGAGTGCGTCCCGGTGGCTGCAGCGATGGACGGGACGGAGCGAGCAGGCCGCAGGCTGGAGGAGTCCGTCTTCCCGGCGTCTTTACGGGATCGCTGCTGGAGGACCTTAATCATGGCGTCCTTCTCTATGATTTTGGCATGCAGATTTTTAATACTGTGTAACAAAAACAAAACAGTCACGATCCAACGCCATTTGGCTAGAATAACTCGAACATTTCTCTCAGGTTGCCCAGGGACTTCAGTTATAACTGAGGGAGGGAGAGTTAAGTGTCTTCAAACAGTTACCATCTCCATATTGTCTGAGATGGATCTTCTGTAGTAGATTAAAAGGGTGCACCTTCTCCGGCCCCTCAGGTGACTCTGGGACGTCCTGGGACCCCAAGGACATAGTCTGAATGACTGGGGCCCCCAGCAAGGGCCTCCTGGACCCACGTGTGTAGGACCCTGGCAGAGGGGGCAGGAGGAGCAGCAGGCAGCACAACCTCAAGCCTCACACGCGGGGAGCTGCCCACCAGAGTCAATCTCCCTATTTTCTGAGGAAAAAAAGATGACAGGTTTTCTGGGAGAAGCTGCTGCTCTCCCCAGAAGGCCAACACTCGAGTTCTTTTCTCTGTTCTCCAACAGTAACTCACTGGGCCCATTTTCTGACCTATTTTCCTATCTGCCAAGTAAGCAGCTCAGGTTCCCAGGGCTCCCCGGCAGGGTGGGGGTGGGCGGCAGGCTAGCTCTGCCAGGTCACAGAACCTGCTGGATGTCGTGTTTAGTCCATGGGAAGAAAGCGTTAGCTACGTGAGTTCTTTATTTCTGGCCGGAACATATAAATCCTGTGTCAAAAGCCCTGAGACATTTCTCCTGTCCAGCTGGTAACGTCTAGAAGGCTGCAGAGACAGACACCCAGAAAAAGCATGTGCATCTGAATTCTTGCCATTAATGAGCCTCCATGTGAAAACCTGCCTCTGACATGAAAGCAGCCCCCAGAGACCTCAGGCTCCACCCTGAGTGGGTGCTGAGTGGGTGCTTTCCCTTCTCTCTAGGGCAGGGAAGGGGTAGGAGAGGGGAGCTCGAAGCTGTCCAGAAAAGGAAGGGGCTGGGGCGTGCATGTCAACATCAGGCTGGCGGCCCCACTAGGGTCTTGAGGTGAGCGGCCGGAGTAGAGCCTGGTGGCCAGGCACACAGCTGTCCCTTACGTGTACTCCATGTCCTGACACCTCCTGGTGGCCTGCACCACCTCCTCCTCCTCCTGCCAGATGTGGGCCTCCAGCGAGCTCTCGCCGTAGCTGCCGTTCCTCGAGTGGTTGATGATCGTGGTGTCCCTGGTGATACAGAAAATGATGCAAAGCCTCACAGGGAAGGAGGGGTCCGGGGACGCCACACATCTCCACAAACTCCCTCACCCCTTTCCCTCTCCTAAATCCTGGCCAGTTCTCTCCCTAAATGGATAAAATTCAGACAGTATCTAAGGAAAACAGAATCCTCCAAATCCAAATTCCCTGCCCCTTTTACTAACGACATTGTATATAGCAAACCATGCGGCACGTTCTGAATACCGACACTGAACTCTTACAGGTTTAATCTACTGACATGTGGATACTGACACTAGCATGTCTGTTAGTATTTCTATGCTGTACTCCTTCATACTCACTTCTCCTTTTTCACGTTCTCAATCAGAGTTACAGTGTTGTTTCTGTTTCTCACCCAGACAGCAACTATTTCAGCATTTTACAGTAAATGGGGGCTCAGGAAATCCTTGAAACAGAGACTATCTTCCTGGACAGCAAGGCTTCTCCGACTGAGGTTCCCTTCATGCTTGCATTCAAGCTCACTTCTTTATGAGCCCCTGCCTAAGATTCAGGTCCGTTCAGTGTGACAACCATGCTGGGTAGCAGGGCAGAGGGGTGACAAAGACATATACACTCTGCCCTTGGGAAGTCGAGCTGAAGGCGTGGACTGAGAGGAGGGACAGAGACATGGAGGATGCAAAGCAGTATATCCAGAAGCAGATGCCTGAAGGCAACTGGTCAGAGGTAACTGTTCTGCCTGCCGCTGGTTTTGTCCACTTAATTACTCCTCCTTAACGATGATGGGTAAAATAAGATGATTGCACCATCTAAGTGCCCTAAGGATAGCTTAGGCTGAAAGGTACAATAATGTCTCTGATCAGTGAATCTTCAACTAGTAAGACATGATCCAGCCAAATATTTCACATCTCTTTAACTTCAGATGTCAATGTTACAATCATATTGAAAATCTTACAGCTCTTTTCTACCAGAACACCCATAAACAGCAAAGGAGTGGCTGTTTTTTCATCTTTTTTAACAACGGCTGCCCATGAACGAGCGTTTCCTTCATGCCAGGGCCTGGGTGAAGTTCGTTACCCCTGGTATCTCATTCAGTTCTCTCAGGAGCTTGTGCCATAGGAATTATTATCCTCATTTTACAGATGAACCAGTGGGTGACTTTGCAAGAACACCGGGTAAGTGGAGGTGGAAATGGATTCAAATCCAGATATCTCTGACTCCAAAGCCCACTCCCTTAACCCTCCCTCTCTGCTCCCGAAGTCTCCTGTGTCTTCATGAAGAAGATCTCAGGAAAGATACGTGAAGATAAAATAAACCAACAAAGAGGGCACACGTGAGAATGAGAGGCTAAGAGCAAACTGTGACTGAAAACAAACCGCAAAGCCAAATAACATCGAAAGCCAGCAAAATGCTTTAAACAAAACTGACAAAATTATAAACTTACTCCATGGTGAGCAAAAATCATCAACACAGGAATTAGTGGCCAGAAATATTTTCAGAGGATTTACTTTTGGAGAATTTACAGAGAGCTGGAGACAAATGCAAAAATTCACGTTTATACTGCCAAGGACGGCGGGTACAACGAGATGAAAACAACCTAGAAGGTAAATACACACAACTCTCCAAAAAAATACTACCTTGCTGTGAAATATGTAAAAGGTTTCCAAACCTTCACCCATACGGAACAGGCCCAACCTCGCACGCTTCTGATCCATGGTTGCACCAAGATGGCAAAATCAGCTGGTAGACAAAAATCACACCACCCATTAACATGAAGCATGCAGCAGTAGCTGAAAAGTCCCCACACTAATGGCTGGAAATAGTCATTTTTACCAATTCTTATGTAGCCCATTTGGCATCAAGACAATAAGAGCTCTGAATTTTGACCTCTCTCAAAAATTCTTCATTTTCCTTTTCTCCCTTTTTATCAACAGAAGAGCAATGCTGACATTACAGTGGTTTTCTTGGAAAGAACATTAAGTCAGAGCTAAAAACCTGACCTCCTCTGCGCTGATTTTTCCTGAGACTGCGGGAAGCAGTAGTCCATTGGGGGAGGGGAGTTTCCCTGGAACTGTTAGGTGCTTAATAAATATATATGGAAGCAAAGAAGGGGGGCAGGGAGAGATGGTGGAAAGGGTCTCCATCCATCAATCCATCCAAGACTTCAAACAAGGCTGAAGAGGAGAGCAAAGGGGATAGGTAAATCCCATGGGACTATTCTTTGCTCAAAGGATGATGGACAAGGCAGGGCCTAGCATGGTGTGAGTGGGGCTGGCTGTGTGTGGACTGGGTCTGGTTCTACTCATCTCTCCCACAATTCCCCACCATCCCAGCCTTGTCCTGTGTCCACCTAGGGGTCTTATGCCTCAGACTTGCTCATTCCCCCACTTCTGATTTTACATTCCAGTCTCATGCATCCTCAGGATCCCAAACATGTATCTCATCTGATAAATCAGTTAAGAGCTGAGACAATCAGGACATATAAAGGCCCTGGGTCACGCTTCCAAGGTAACGCATTGACCCTATGATTGGGGCATTAGTGTCCTCAGCCAGGGGAATGTGGTCTGGCTCCTTGCTCAGAACCAGCCAAGAATTATCATTTCCATTTCAGAAATTATCAAATCCATTTCTGAATAAAGGAAGTGACACTCGGAAAGGCTTGTGCGGACACCCCTAGTTGGCCACAGGAGGAGAGGCCTTGAACGTGGACGCCTTGCCTCCCTCTGTTTTTTCCGTCAAAAGTCACATGGAAAGACAATTCCCAGGGCAATCGTTGACAGCGATGCCTTAGACTAAGCTGGCAAAGAAGGCCGGCTCCCTCCGTGTACCTTTACGATGGTCTATTCTCTTCCTCGGGAGAGAGAGGTGATTTAGGTTTTGCCTTAGATACCAAAAAGCTGAAAATAGAAACATCTCAATCATGGAAAAATCAAGACACGCTTTCAAGGGCTTCACCATTCTCACCCATCCAAAGCAAGGACTGAACTGGAGGCTGCAACCTCCTCCACCGCTCCAGCCATGCCCACCTCCACTCCCGAAGGCTCGCTCAGAGGGGACGCTGTGGGCCGGCTTCCCTCACAGCACAGAGCCCTAGGAAAGGATCCCCAAATGGTCACTTTCCACTAGAGTCTCCAAGTCTCTCTAGGTGCACGTGTGCCCCCAGGGGAGGCACTCATGCCCATGTGGGTGGCACTGGTCTCTCTCCGAGTTCCTGGGGGTGACACCTGAGCATTCAGCTAATGATTCTTCTTTATTTAAGTAACAAACATGAAAGCCCACACAGAGCTTATAAAGTATCCCCCCTGCACCCCAACAGGTCTTCTCTTCCTCCCTAAGGAAGAAATCACACAGCCAGTGGAAGTGGGGCACCGAGTAAATGATGGGGCTGCATTCTCAGTGTTTACACCTCCATCCTGGTTCCGGCCCCACCACCCCAAAGGGGACAACAAGAGCTCTAATTAAGTCCAGTTTTATGGATGTTCCTTCAAAGTTTGAGGCTCTCCTCCAAATATACTGACTCAAAATTTCAGTAAATGCTGAGCAACTCTGAATTCAACACCTGGTATCACTTACGGGCGAAAAGCAGGGCGGGGAGAGCCCTGACCGGCAGAACGCATAGCCACTCAAAGTCAGTGCAGCAGGAATGCACGCAGGCGAGGTCCAGCAGTCGAGGGGAACTACCCACTCATTCAGACGTGGGAATAGCTTAACAGAATTATTTTGTGGACTACTGAGCATTTTGAACCAATTTTTAAAGAAAGAATAAGGCTGTGCTCCTACAACAAAGGAAATAAAGCAACAGAAGTAATAATTGACAGCTGCAGATAACAATCTCAAAACAAGTGAAATCAGGCGTTAAGTCAGACCAATTCCACTGGACACGTGGTCCCACCACTTACTACCAGTGTGATCTGGAAGGAACCACTGCGTCTCTCTAAGCCTCATTTCTTCACCTGCAAAATGAGGATAATAACAGTTCCCACTCTCAGGGCTGGTAAGAGGATTACATCTTCTTCTTGTCTGGCCCATGAAACGAACCCACTGTTAAGAAGAGCATAAAGTCTACGTTCCCAGCATCATTCTTTTAATTTTATTTTTTATTGAAGTGTAGTTGATTTACAATGTCCGGCATCCTTCTTAAAGACCACATAGTGGTCCTTACTACTGTGTGGATGTACTTTGTACTTAAAATTATTGAATGAATCCCTCTTGTTGGGCTCTAGGCTATTTTAAGTGTACTGATGTTTTCAGCCACACTGGCATGAACATCCTTGGACTTTAGTCTTCAGGCACTTATACAGTGATTTCCTTAAGATAGATGTCGAGAACTAGAATTTGGGAACCAAAGGAGAGGTACAGATTGCCAAAATCCTCCCCTAGAAATGTTACACTGTCTTGCTCTCCAATGAGCACTATAGCCACTTTAAAATTATTTTTAACTGCTCTCACTCCCTGGGATGCAGCCCTGAACCCCTCTTTTTTTTTTCCAGCTGTGCTTTTCTGAGCAGCAGATTCCCACCCGGTCTCACCTCTCGGCCGCCGCAGTGGCTGCCGCGTTCATGGCGAAGTGGCGGATGGTGCTCTCCTCCACGTACTTCTGTTCCCACTTGGTCATGTCGGCCTCCAGCGCCAGGATCCGCTCTTCCTTCTCCCTCACAAGTTCCATGAGGGCCGGGGCATTGTATTCTGGCAGGCTGGCTGGCTGGCCATTTCCGTGTTTCTGGAGAAGCAAAGATGGCACATCTCGATACTGAGTTGGGGCTGTAAAGTTGACCACATAAACCACGTCCACAGAGTTACCCACGTTGAGCACGCATGGTCCAGCCAGACCCTGCAGCACATTCACACACACATCATCATCACTCGTGCTCTCTCTCCAGCGTGGATGACCTGAGCGGAGTGGATCCTCACACCATCATCCTCACCTCCCCAGTTCCTCTATCTCAGTTAATTCTCCTGGAACTCTACAAAACAGACAGTATTACCCCGATTTTACAGAAGAGAAAACTGAGCTGCTAAGAGGCTGAATGGACTGTTCTATGTCTCTACGCTGATCAGGAGCAGAGTCAGGATTCAAACCCAGGTCTGTCTGCCTCCATCCAGCTCTGCATGACAGGAAGTGGCTTGTCCTATGGCTTGCAGTTGATTTATACCAAGAGCAAGAACAGGAATGAAGTCTTAGTCTCGGCCTCCTGGTCCAGGATACATTTTCCCCAGAGTTCAAGGAAGTGACTCAGCAGTTCGTTTCCCCTGAGGCTGGGAGACAGAACGTGAAGGCACAGGAAGTGGGAGTGAGATGCCTTGAGGGGCATGCTTCCTGGCCACACTGCTCTCCTCTGGGAAACAGAAATCAACACCTGCCCCACGTGGAAGGCTGGCAATCAAACAGGATAGTAAATATGAAAGCACTTAATAAACATTAAAGGGCTAAACAAAGTAAAAAACCTCCAACGTAAGCGCAGCCCGTTCTCCAGCCCTTTCCCTCCGTCCGTGTAAGAGCGGGCAGCGGGTGTTTCCTCCGGTCTGCTCCTGAGCTGAGGATGTTCACTTTTCAGGTCGTCTCCCTTCTAACTCAGGGATCCTATCTCGTCTAAGCAGATGGCTTAGAGGGACAAGGGGGTTTTGAGGATGCTTGGCTTCCGTCCAGCCGTGGAGATGGGTCATCCTGGGGACTCAGGATTCGGAGACCAGTCGGGCCTGAGCCACTCAAGGGGAAACTGATTTCATTGCAGCTCTTCTCTGTCCTGGGACACACATCCCCTCCTTCTTCCCAGTGATGGCAAGCTTTAACTCGCAGAGTTGTTCGCGAGGTGAGACCTACCTCTCACCCGGAACCACATAAATGACCAGGAGCAACAGCTGGGCATCTGAGCTGCATTGCTGGAACCCAACCCCATCAGACAGAAGACAACAAACAGGCCTATGGGCTTTTTGTAAACCATATGCTTCTATTTGATTCTTGAAAGCTACAAATAAAATTATTCTGGGATGCAGTGGTAGCTCGCCAGTGATGGCATTTAAGCAAGAATAGAATGGAGGGCACATACGTGTTTGCATCAGCATGCACAGGACGTCATCCACCCCATCTAGCCGGGCACCCAGCCTCAGGGCAGGAGGACCAACAAACCAGTCCATCAAGATGAGAAACTTCCATTTTCAGAAACTTTCCAAGAAAAAGATCCCACATCCTCACTTAGCTGCCATCTAGGCCTGTCAGTTTCTACCCAAATCCCTTGTGTTGCCATCCCAGCTGGTGACCTAACTCAGGTCCTTAAGAGCTATTTTAAATAAATGCATGAATTTCAACACTCAAGCGTACAGAGATGGCTCAGTCTAATGGGTAAGCATGCTGGCCAGACAAACAGATTAAGGGTAAGGCAGGTCAGCTTCCGCTGCCCGTTCAGCTAGTCCACAAATATTTCCTGAGCGTGTCCATGTGCCGGGGATACCACAGCGAACAAGATAGATAAAATTTTTGCCCTCAAAGTGTTCATCTGGGAGAAATGCCCTGATGAGCTACATGACCTTGGACTGGTCTCTTAACCGCCCTGGGCCTCATTTTGCTTTTCAAGAACATTCGCCCACTTCCCTCTCCTACGTCATAAAACTACTGCAGAAGTAAGATACGGCAATTACTTTGGCTTTTCAGGAAAGAGGAGACTGTGAGTTCTTAAAAATGTCCATTTCTCTTGCCCCTCTACTGTTATTTCTCTTTCACCTCTCCCCAGCTTCTAATGATGCTGAAGTACCACTTCACCGCCCACCAGTGGAGGGAGCTTGCTTCTACTAACAGAGCCTGTTCACTGAGAGCTGCCCTTCCCAGCTAGTCCCAGGGTCCTGACTTACCTTTCCCCTCCCCTCCATCTCAATCGAACTGTCACCTTTTTTTCAGTGGGATTGGAAAAACTGGAGTAAGGGAGAAACCTGGGTACCAAAGATGCCTTGTCTTGAAATGACTCTGAAGTTAATGATGAGAACAGCAATGACAGTTCTTCTTTCATTAACTAAGTGTCAGGTGCTGTGTAAGCACTCTGTGCAGATTTTCTTACTTGGGTTCCAAGTATAAAGTAAGTATAATATGTGTGCCCCATTTTAGAGACAAGGAAGTGAAGGCCCCGAAAGATCTCTCTTTTAGTAGGAGGGGAAGGCAGGATCCCAACCCTGGAGCCCTGCTCTGAATCAGTCCATGATTCCATGCCACGCTGCCCACCTCCAGTCTACCCACCCTTCTGGAAGGTTCCAGGGCACTTTGTTCCAGTTACCGGGAGTAACTGGAGGCCACCTGAGGGTTCTGTGGTGTCAGGGGGCCGGGCAGAGAGGCTCAGGTGCGTCCTGGTGTCGGTTGAAGAGCAGAGCCCTGTGTGCGGTGTTGATTTGTAAGTGCTGCTCTCTCAAGGGTCCCTTCACAATGATTCTCTACGGGAAGAGGCGGGCAGTGCGGGCTTACTGCTCTGTTGTGGGGAAGATGACCAGGGGCTTTATTTATTTAGTGACCTCAGTGTGCCTTCTAAATTAGGAGTCAGATAAGTGCTTTGGTGACACGGGGGTGTGCCGTGGGCTGCCCACATCCAGGGCAGGCAGATGTGTGCGCTACTCAAAGTGAACAAAGAGGAAGCTGATCAGAGAGGCTAGGTTTCTCAGGTGACCCCACACTCTAGAGGGGACACTGGCCACCTCTGCCGGAGGCTGGCAGAGCTGGGCTCAACACACTCGTCCTGGGCTCCGGGCAGAAGCTGGACCAACCTGTAGTATCTGCCATGTGAACTACTAAAAACTTCAGGTGTTTCAGAGGCTTTCTCTGCAGTAACATTTCTGGTTATGTACGTTCACTGGTCAAATGAGAAAATGAAGTATTAAAGGAAAAAATTAAAAAATGATACTCATCTTTTTAATGAGTAGGCAAAAGCAGGGAAATTCCCAAGTGCCTTTCATAACATAGGAGACAGATTAACGTACTCATTTAAAATATTGTAATATTAATTTAAGGAGATGCTGGGCAGCCAAGTCCTGTTTAAAGGCTGTCTCGCCTCTCTCTGGTCTCATGTCAGCCACACACAGTTGGGGATCTGCTATCAGCTCCAGAAGACAAGTCCCAGATGCGAGCCCCGTGATTTCCCAGGACAGCCCCGTTTCTGAACCTTCTGTCCTCCACAGGTAGCCTCAGTCTGACGGCAGCCTTTATGCACAGAGGGAAGTTTGTGTTTGCTGACCTGAGGAAACAACAGGTGTGAGTGTGCGCAGGACTGAGTGTGCACATGGGAATGGTCCTCTGTGGCAATAGAGGTATTTTTCAAATAATGCTAACCTCACATTTCTTCTTTTTTTTTGATCACTAAATGAGCTCTTTTTTATTATTGAAATAGTCAGTTTACAATGTTGCGTCAATTTCTGGTATACAGCATAATGTTTCAGTCATACATATACAAACATATATTCCTTTTCATATTCTTCTTCACCATAAGTTACTACAAGATATTGGATATAGTTCCCTGTGCTGTACAGAAGAAACTTGTTGTTTATCTATTTTATATATATGTAGTTAGTATCTGCAAATCTCAAACTCCCCATTTATCCCTTCCCACCCTCTTCCCACCCCTGGTAACCATAAGTTTGTTTTCTATGTCTGTGAGTCTGTTTCTGTTTTGTAAATAAGTTTATTTGTGGGAAAAAAATGTTTATTTGTGTCTTTTTTTTTTTAGATTCTACATATGAGTGATATCGTATGGTATTTCTCTTTCTCTTTCTGGCTTATTTCTTGATATACAACAAGGATAATGGAGCTGAGTCTGGTTTCTTTCTTTCCTTTTTTTTTTTAACAGAGATACTAGGGATTGAACCCAGGACCTCATGCATGCTAAGCATGTGCTCTACCACTGAGCTACATCCCCACCCCCATCCTCTTTTTCTTTTTTTTCAAAGAAAAAGACGTTTAATCTTGCAAAGCCAAATGTTTTCAATAACGTACAGGAAGTAATTCTTGTACGTTTTGGGTAAGAAAGTAAATTGGTACACTTACTTTGCAGGGTGACTTGGCAATCTCTAGCAATGTATAAGATATGCATTCGTTATCCAGCAATCCCATTTTTAGGTATATCCTCTTGGGAAACCAGCCCATTCTTTAGCAAGGAGACATGTAAAAAGGCAGCTCATTAGCGTGTTGTCTGTAACAGCAACACCACTGGCAAAACTCCCAAGAGCAATCAGTTGGGGGAGGCTACACAGACGATGTCATAGTTTGGAATACATACAGTAGCTAAAATGAACGAAAAGTCCGGTTTCATAGCACTCAAAAGAGAAGAGCCAAGGATGAGAAATCTAACTGTAGGGTGTGAGTGGCACGGGAACTGGAAAAGAACATTCTTTTTTGCTCTAAGTACTGAGATGTGCCCATTCTGTCAGCCAAATACTCCTAAATACCCACTGGGTGCCAGCACGGTACCAGACACCAGAGAGCCTGCTCTCCAGGTGGGAAGCTTAAGACTGCAATAACTGAGCAAGAGACCGGCTGAAGGCTGGCCCTGAGGTGGCCGAGGTTGGAAGGACCAGAAGTCCAGGGGCAGACTCACTTTCCTCTGTGAGCTAGCAACTAAGCCAAGATGGGAGCCGGTGGGCTCCTTAGTTTACTGGGCAACCACGCCTACACCTCCATCTCCAGCCACAGACACACCCCCGGAAGGACCGGAGTGCACTGCCATGAGGAAGGGCTGAGCGGATGCTGTCAAGTGTTTTCAAGTATTTCAATCACAACCACTGTGCCCTACCCGCTAGATAATTCCATGGCGCCCTGTCTTGCGGTTCCTGGGTTTCAAGCTCAGAGCACACCCTTCACCAGCTGCACAGAGGGCTTTACCCACCACGCTGGCTGATGACAACACCAGGAGCCCCTGCCAGCTCGTAACGGAGCCCGGTCCCACTGTAGGACTTCTCCCCTCGCCGAGGCCCAGGCGGACCCTGTGCTAGGGTAGCTGAGTTCTTCGTAGCTGAGTTCCACTAACAGCTGTTACCAGGAGAAAGAGGAAGACGCAGAAGGACAAGGAACTGATGGCCAATATTATTTTCAAGGGCGAGTCCTAACTCCTTCCTGTCCATTCCCTCTGAACACTCACTGATGATCATGTCCTACTAATTTCACCCCCTTTCTAGGCCCCCATGGATTCCCACTGTCACTACATCCTAGATGATGCTAAAAGCCTTCAGCGTGGCCTCCCTGACTTCGACATCTGTCCCTCCAGCCTCCTCCTCTGACACCATCAGAGGGCTCTTCACTTGATCCCATAGGAAGAAAAAAAATCCAGTCTCTCAACCTAACAAATGCCCTCCACCAGCTGGCCGTTGCCTCCTCGCCAGATGCCTCATGCAACATGCTCCCCCAGGTGACTGCACCCAGCGGTCCTGGACTTGCCATCCGTCTCACACCTCTGTCCTCCACGCATGCTCCTACTCTCCCTCTAACGCTCTTCCCCCAGGAGCCCCAATGAACTCATCTTTCCAAGTCCAACTCAAACATCCTCTCTGAAGTCATCGAAAGCTGCATTCCCCTCTGCCCAGCCCCCAGTGGTCACTAGCCTCTGTCAGGACATCTACCTCCCCAGTGAGTGGACTGCCTGGCTCCTCCACTGGCCACTGTGCTGGATCACTAAGGACAGAAAATTCTCCTTTCCTCTTGACACCTCAGTGCCGCGTGCAGAGCCCGGCCCGCAGCAGGCGCTCTGCTCCGGAGCACTGGCTGAACGCACGTGTCAGACTCGCCGGCCTCAACCCCGCCCCTCACCTGCTGGGTCCTCAGCGCATCCAGCTCCCTCTCCAGCCAGGTGCGAAGCCTCCTCTCCATCTGCTCCCGCTTCTCGCATGCCGACTGCAGCTGGGTCAGCGCCTGCTGCAGCTTCTCCACTTTCTCCACGTATGCCTGCTTCTCTCGCAGCTGAGCAGAGAGGACAGCAAAAACGAACACAGCGTTCAGACAGTGATTCTCAAAGCTGGGCTGGC